TTCCTGCTTCACCATCTCAATTGATGGTGACTCCACCACCACAGGTGAAATGATTTCCCACCCCATCTTCAAAGACAATCAACTACAGTCTTCGAGCAGCACACTGCTGTACGTTCTTGAGAAAGTTCCCTCTTCCACCTTTTTTCCTCAGGCTAACTCAGTCCTAACTCTTTACATCCTCCCTCCCACACTGTCTTTCTAAAGACCTTCATCATTTCTGTTGCACTGCTGGATACTTTTCTTGTTTGTGCACATCCTTCCAAGGATCTGAGCCTATTGCCTCTGTAATCCCCCATCTATGTCAGGGATAGCAGTAATTATTTCCTGCACTTTAGACGTGGCACTCCCAACACAGCCTGGCACAAGGCTTGTGTTGTGTGCCCCTCCCCAGCAAAGCGCTAACTCATCCAACTCCCAAATCCTGGTGACACCAACATTTCCCCCCAGCCCTGCCTCTGCCCTAAGCAGGCTGTCCTGCCAGGGAGAAGTGCTGTCAACCTGCACTTTGAATGCAGCTTTTCAACCAGTCGCACATCCAGCTGAGGGATGCTTCCCATCTCCCACCCTTTCCCCATTTGTTTATGAGGCTGACACATGGGCCAGTGACACAGGCTGACTCAAGTTAGGATCTATAACATCCATCGCCCCCGCTCAGCTGCTAGGCGAGCCATCCTTCTGGGCAAGGGAACTGACTGATGTGATGCAGTACCATCCAGACAAAAATACATTGGTGGCTTTTTAAAATCAGCATATTCTCTTAGCACAACAGACACTGCTGCTCAGCTATTTATTCCAGTTTATTTAGACTATCTGGTTGTAGCCCTATTCTTTCCCCCTATACATCAAACCTTGAGATTTTCCTCTGCTACGTGTTCTTCAGCATGGCTGCTCATCACACAAAAACTGCCCTAGCTTATTAAGTACTCAGGTGAATTTCATAAAGCTCTGTCCACTTGATTACATCTAATTGACCTAAATGGTCATCACCTGTTTTTACTTCACTTGTGCTCGGATTCACTTTTTAAAATTAATTCCTCTAAATCCCTCATCACCCTTGACCTTCTGTTCCAGGTGAAGACAGAGTTCCTACTTACTGTCACCTTGCATTTGTTCTTCTCCACTCAGCCAGTTCTTTGCTTTGTCCAACAGCAATGACCCTCCTGCTGCAGCCAGTCTTCACATGGTTTTGTGTCCAGCACAAATTCAGTTCCTTCCTCCAGATTCATAATGTTGCAACTCATGTCAAGTGAACTGCTTTTCTACAGTGAGTAACAACAAACCCTTGGGCAGTTACCGCAGTGTAACAGGCACACGGTAATTTGTTAGCAGGTCTATGCCTCAAGTATAGAGAGGAGCCCAGCCAAACCAAATCACCAGCTTGAACACAGTCACCCCAGGGAAGATGTCTGCCTCACCAGCAACACCAGAGCCCAGTGTTTCATACAAAGGGAAGCTAGATAATAAGTACAGAGCTGAAGGATGCATTTGTTTTAAGACCTTCCCTAGGCCCATGGCACTAGATTTATTATCAAGTCAGAAGCAGATACCCTCCCCAGCCCTGCAGTACTACAAGGCTCTGCCTGACCTTCAAACAGAAGACACCAGCTGATGATGACTGCTTCAAGCAGGAGATGAGGCCTGCAGCCATCTGGGTTTCCTCTAAGTAACAGACAGTACCAAGACTGTCTCATTCCCCAGCTTTGAAGGAACAAGAGATAGAGCCTACCAACAGCCACTGTTTAATTTGTGAAAGCACCAAATGCAAGCTAGAGCCCCACTGGCTGCTACCCAGAGTTGAGGTCTGCAAGGAATTTAGCGCAGGAACCCCCAGGGAAAAGGGGAGAAGCAAAGGTCAGAGCAGGACAAGAAAAACAAGGCAGTGGAAGCTCACAGTGCCTTCTTCAGGCAGGGAAAATGAGGGGCTCTTTGGTGGCTGCTGGGTTTTGGAAGCTTAGGAAATGTCTGCAGAAGACAACAAGCATAGCCAGGCACGAGCCCTGCCTGCAGCCACTGCCTCCAGGTGCTGACAGGAGACCTAGCTTGAAAGATGCAGAAAGTTCTGCCAGCAGGATCCCCACCTTGCCAGCACTAAGCAACTACAAACTTGTGGAGGCAGAGCAGGGAGATAGGCAGGCAGCATCGACATGGGATACCCCATCCCTGGAGGTGTTCAAAGCCAGGTTGGATGGGGCCCCAGGCAGTCTGATGTAGTATTCAATATGGAGATTGGTGACCTGCATGCAGCAGGGGGATTGGAGCTTGATGATCCTTGAGGTCCCTTCCAACCCAAGCCATTCTATGACTTTGACATGCAGGAGCAGTGAGGAAAACAGAAGCATTTGCAGTACTGTTTAGCAATTACATGCACATAGAGAGAACCTAGCAAAAAGGAGCAAACACTGCAGAGACACACGGAGAAAAGCATTCACATCTCACATTTTGCAAGGGAGCCTCCGCCTCCTGCAGCTGATCTGGAGCAGAGGGCAGACACCCAGCTCCAGGCCGGGAGAAAAGAGCAAGGAGGCAGTGCCAACCACAGGCCTGCAGCCTCACAAAAAAGCTATTTCACACTGTGAGCCTCTGCTTCACAGGCCTGGCACCAGCACCACAAATCTTGCCCTCTCTCTCTTGCACTGTGTGTACTCACACACACACAAAATAATTCCTGGATTTTTTATTTACTCATATTTATCAGGAATCCATCCATCATAGCCAGATCACAATCAAAGCAACCAAGCAAGCAGGCATACTCACAGACCTGGGGCTGCAGGGGCCAGAAGCTGGACTGCACCAAGAGCACCAGGGGTCCCTACTGGAGCTCACAATGTGTCAGTGCAAAAAAGAATGATGATAACTGCCGCTCGCAGTGGCTGCAGCCATCACACTGACCAGGGATGAAAGCAGAGCCATGCTCGCACAGAGGCACTTGCTTTCTGTCTTCTCAGCTCCAGCAGAGCCTCGGGGGAGCTGGGAGGAGCAGGAGGCACCAATCTGACACCAGACAAAGGCCTTCCTCTGAGTCACGCAGCATCCCCACGGACACAGCCCAGCCGCTCCCTTCCCTGCCGCCTCCGCCATCGGGCCAGACCCGGCACTGCGTGCCTAGTTTGGGGCACAGCACCTCCATGTCCCTTCCACGGGGCAGGGCTGTCGAAGGGCAGTGCAACACCCGGTGCCACAGGGAAAGGCTACTTCGGCTTGGTTGCCATGGGGATGGAGATGCAGCCCAGCACAGGCAGGAAACGCAGACTCACCCGAGGGCAGGTGCCTATGGGAGGGGAGAGGGGCTTCGGGTCCGAGAGAGAGGTGTGGCCCCTCTCCTTTGTTCCCACCCCCCGGAAAACAGCTGTTAATTAAAGAAGGTCTTAATAGACATGGAAACAAACACGTTCTCTAAACATCCCCATTCTCTCACTTCATCTCTGCACCAAAAAAGCTCTGGGAAAGCTCCAGCCCGCTCCCCAGTGAGCCCCACCATCATCCTCGCCTCCGTCACCAGAACAAAGCTGATGCTTTGATATGCAAATCCGCCATCGGATCCCTAATCGTGCTGCCTGCAGGCAGCACAACACCACACACAAGGGGCCTCCTTTGCCTGGGAGCTGCAGCCCCTCGCAGACCCCATCGCAAGGATGGGCACTGATGGAAGGAATGCACACTGAGATCAAAACCACCATGCCAAGGGTGCAGGAGGCAATGTGGGCAGCTGGCAGGGCCCCACTCAGTGCCCTTCGCTCACTGAAAGCACGACTACAAGACAGGAAAGACAGGCCATTGGTGCACAGGTTTCTGCTGCAGGTCTCACACTCACAGAGATGTTCTTTGCAACCTTGTTCTTAGAAAGAAGTATATCCCACTTTATTGTATAAGCATTTATCAGAAGAAAGCCCGTTTCCAGGCCATTTTCTTGCTAGGAAACATGACTGAGGATACTGTGAAAGCCTGAGCGAGGAGACACAGCAGCACATAGCTCGGCACCTTCCTTTTGCTGCTTCAACTCCTGACCCCGGGATGCTTCATGATAGTGACACCACGCTCCGGTCAAAGGGGAAGAAACCGGAGCATCGCAAGGCTCAGAGCAATACTCCCAACAGGAAAATCGACACCTCAGAACACAGAGCAGCCTCAGTTCCTCCCAAGGTTACCAGCGGCTGGAAATAGAACAAACCTGGGGCAACCAAGCACACCCCTGAGCCCAAGCACAGCCTGCTCCCAGCCTCATCTCTATCATGCTTCCGCACCCAGGTGAGGGCTGCAGGTGGGCCACAGCCCTTAAGGACCGTAAAAGAGCCCGGCACGAGAAAGACCCTCCCAGGCGGACGCCAGCTAAATGCAGTCAATAGGATCCACGTCTTTAAAGCACTGCTATTATTTCCGATAGGCACGGAGCCTTCCCGCAGCCGGTTCCGAGGCCGGGGGGGGCGGGGGGCTGGAAGGGGGTGCGGCCGCAGCCTGAGGCCCGCGGAGCTTCGTCCCACGTACGGGCGGGGCACCCGCGGGGCCGTCCAGAAGACACCGCAGCAGCGGGCAACAAATACCCCGCGAGGCCGACACGGGGCCGAGCGCACGGGGAGGGGACGGAGCGAACGGCCCCGCGGTCCTAGCTTCATCCTGCCCCGCTCAGCACGAGGCCCGTCCCGGGCGGGCCGTAGCCACGCCGCTCGCCGCCCGAGCGCAGCCCGGCGCGGCCGCGGGCTTCTCCCCGCTCCAAGATGGCAGCCCCCCGCCCCAGCCGGCCTCGCCGCCCTCCTTTCCTCCCCCCCTTCCCCGAGCCCTTCCCGCCGGCCTCGCCGCTCCCCGCGATGCCGCATCGCTTACCCTGCGTCAGGCGCGGACGGGCTCCCGGGCTGCCGCTGCCGCCGCCCCGCCGGGCGCTGCGGTACCGCGCTGCGCTACGCCGCGACGGGAGGGAGCGATCGGCTCGGTTCGGCTGGGCTCGGGGCGGGGCGTGGCCTCGAGCGGGCGTGGCTTCGGCACCGCACAGCGATGGGCGGGGCCTGCGGGCGGCGGAGCGCGCGTGCGCATTGCCGGCGGGCGGAGGGCCGCGGTGCCGCTGAGGTGCGCGGCGGGCGTGGGGGCGGTCGGTGGGCTGGGGGCGAGGCGGGGCGCGGCGCGGCGCGGCGCGTGCAGCCGGCGTCCGGCGTCCGGCGGTGGCTGTGTGGGAACAGCCGTCTCTGTCGCCGCCGGTACTGGAGGTCGCCGATCCTTAGGCCTTCCGGGCGGGCCCGGCTGCGGCCTTGTGCAGATGGCGCCTTGTGCAGATGCCGCCTGCGCCGATCCTCGTGGGCCGGGGAGGAGGGAAACGCGGAGGCTGCTCTGGCGCTTACACGCGGCCGCCGTGTCCTCCGGAACGCCTTCTTCGTTTCGGGATCCTTTGGGGACCGTGCTGCCAGGGTTAGGCTATGAGCATGGGGGAATGGAAGTGGGATTCCTGTGCCCTGATGTGCAGCGTGGACCAAGCGGTGCTGCGTGCTGTGGGGACTCGGGAAGTGTGTGTGCAGCCTGGGCCCTGCTGCTTAGCCCCCTAAACCCTCCTTTGGAGCAGTTCCTTTCGAAGAGAGCTACTAGCATTCACCTTTCTGTGGACAGCTGACCTAGGTCAGTGGTTCCTGACTTCTGTTGTGTTCTTTTTCTTAATGATGGAGCTGCCACTCCCCACCTTCTCCTTCTTGCTTGGCTCCTTTTCCCTGCCATCACACTTCAGTGCTTGCGAGTTGGCGATCACACCTTGCTGGTTGGGATTGGGTCACACAGGTTGCGGCTGCAAACAGGATGTGGGCTTGTGGCTTGCTGTCTGTGGTCCTATTCTGAGACCTCAGTGCTTTTAGATGTAGTGGAGATGCAACCAAAAGGAGATAGTAGCAATGAGATAGTGGTCTGCAAGTTGTTCTCTCAATTTATGTGTGACTCCAAAAGACCCTAGTGAGGACAGGTTTTGCCTCCATCCCCACAGACCATGTCAGTGCTTCTGGGATTGGAAATCTACTCTGGCACCCTTTTCCTTTGACCTTAGGAAGTTCTTTCTTTGGCTTAATTTCCTGCTGGTTGCCCAAGGAGGCTGTGGATGTCACATCCCTGGAGGCATTCGAGGCCAGGCTGGATGTGGCTCTGGGCAGCCTGGTCTGGTTGTTGTCAACCCTGCATGTAGCAGGGGGGTTGAAACCGGATGATCATTGTGGTCCTTTTCAACCCAGGCCATTCTATGATTCTGTGATACACTGGGAACAGTCCATTGCTATTTTAGTACAGCACCGTGGATATGAACGTATGTAATGTATTAATGTGCTTGGATACTGGAACAGATATAAGTACCTTAGAGCTGGGACTTCTGGATATTTAAAATAACTAAAGTAAGTTTTCCATTAAAGCTCTTTTTATCTGCTTTTCCTGATTGTGCAAATGAGGTTAGCGTGTTTCACTGGAGAGCTTTTAGCAGATGTACCTGCAATGAGTTGCTATTGGTAACTCAGATCAATAAACACCCTGTTTAATAGCTAATACTACTCATAAATGGAATTCATGAAGACTTAATTCCTCTTTGTGAATTTGGCCTTTCTGCCTGTCATTAGTGCAAAACCAATTATATCTTGGTAATGGGTATCTTGTGTATTTTTAACATACCCAAGCCCTTAATCACATCGCTTCCTTTACGAGGATGGCCATGAATGGATCGACCCCACAACTCTCTTCTGCCTCTTGCAGCACACCCTGACAGGCATTCCATAAGTAAACCCATCGTGCCCAAGTAGGGGTTTGGGTACTTGCATTGCACATATTGTCTTGGATTTATTTCCTGTATTTTAATAATAGATGGCAGATGCAGGTCAAATCTTTGTGGTGCCCAGAGCATGTCTTTTTTCATCTCTTAGAATGCTGGCCCCCACTATTTGACGGTTCAGATCACTTTGTATTTTGACAGCAGCTTTTGGCCTCAGGACTTGCTTTGCACATCCGTTGACTCTCCCTGTGGCCTGTTTGTGTGGGTGAGTTACAAGCTGAAATAGAAATAACTGAATGATTGTGGAACTCCAGCTCTTCAGGGGGAGCAGGGAGCAGATGTCATTTCTGATTTCTCATTAAAAAGGAAAGCCGTACTGGATTGCTAGCTAATAGCATTATTTAAAAGTACTTCTACTCTAGGATGCAGGCAAAGTAAGAATGACATCTTAACTGGGTTTTAGGCTTTGCACCATTGATTAAAAGCTTGGTCAGAGCTGTTTCACTGTTCCATTGAGTGTTCAGACAGAGATGTTTTTAGTGCTCCCATGACTATATTAGTAGAGCAGATTGATACTGAGTGTTGTGAGATGCGTTTGTATTTTTTGCTGAAATGGAAGAGATTCTTCTCTCGTCAGAATCTCTCGAGCTGCTCTCCCACTGTAAGTGAAGGGAGATTTGCCAGTGTTCTGCCACATCTTCTTGCTCTAGCATTCATGCAATCAGGCTACAAACAGTACTGTCTAACAAGAATGCTGGAGCCAGTATAAGGGAGCTGATGGAAATGTGTTTTGTGGGATCAGAGGACTCCTTTGTTAGTACTGTGTGCCCTGAAGTGGGCTTAAAGCATGTATGTAATTCTGCCTTCCTTATCTGGAGGATGTCCTTGCTTCATATCAGCTCCCTGGGGTGTTCTATTTGTGTGTTTGCATGCGTTTTATGAAACTTGTATGTAACCCAATGCTGTTATCTGGGATGAAATTTTCCAGAATTCCTCCATTCAAAAACCACTTTAGCCTGCGGTAAATATAAATCACTTCTTTAACCATCTGGGAAGGTGGTGAAGGTAGGAGCTTTAATATGGTACTTGAAAATGGTGCGGTGGGTAAATAACTCCCAGAAGTGTGAAACTAATGAAGAGCCCCTTTGTGGTGTGATTTTTGAACTTGATGTCAGTCTGTTGCACTGGATGTGGTAATGCTGAAGGGTCCTTGAGATGAGAAGGGAGTGTTTGCCATAGCGAGTTATTGCGTGTTGAGTCTGACTCAGTGAAGTAGAAATTGGGTCACCCTAGTGAGTATTTGATTAGCAGACTCCTCCCCCTTTTCAGAATCTGAACTCAGTCTGAATTCTGGGTGAATTTTTAACTGGTTTGTGGAGCAGGAAGAAGCTGTGTGCCTCTAAGATTCGGATTTCAAGAACTCGAGTCTCTCCAGCCATGAGAAAGAGCCACTGCTAAAACTGAGGTGCTTTTTAATACTACTCTTGCCTCATATGAACGACTTTGAAGTTAATCCTCCTTGAGCTGGAATTTGGACTAGCTGACCTCCAAAAGTCTCCTCCAAGGTAATTCCTTGATCAGGAGCACATTAGTGACTAAATGCAAAGCACCAGTGCTATTTCTCCTGTCCAGGCTACGGCAGAGTGCACTCCTCCATCAGCTGGGCAGTACCAACAGCAGACTTCCTAGGAGTTACTGCACACATGCTCCTGGTTGATGGTTATAGGGATACTCTTACCATGTGATTCTGAGCAGTGAAGTTGGATAAGGGACCGCAATCGGAGATCCACCTTTGGGAGCAATCCCAGGTCATGTGCATTCCCCAAGCATGTGCTAAGCACAGCCTTCTTCAGAAAGTGTGAGACAACATCAGCTCTGGAAAGGAGGGGACTTTCATCTCCTTAGTAGCATTCAGCCTTTGGCACTGGCTCTGAGTGCTTGTGCTGCAGTCAATGACTTCTCTGCCCTTGCAAGTTTAGTTTGGTCTTAGCTCCTCCACAGTGGGCAAAACCAAGGGCAGAGGAGATCAGGTGTCTGTTCCAGCCACAGAGGGAATGAGGTAGAACTGGGCCACGCTGAGGAGTGCTGGAACCAGACCCAAAGGGTAGGCTGTTTCTGGAAGGGAAGCTGGCTTGTTCCTACAGTTAGGGGTATGATTCATTGTTCAGAAACCCACTTGCACCCTTCCTTGCATGCTGGGCTCCTTGCCACAGAAGCATTCTTCCTACTGCCCTGAACCTTCTTGCACACTGGAAATATTCTGTTTACTCAATTCCGAACAGGATGCTGCATTCCAAGTAATCAATCACTCAGAGTTTCTTAGTTTATGACACATCTTAATATACTGAGGAATAATTCCTAGCAGCAAAGGGATACTGAGTCATGTGGAAAAATAAACAGTCCTTGTACACTTTAAACTGTTGATGCTTCACTCAGAAGTTTTGTAACTTCAAACCTTCACTGCTGCCACAGGGTAGAAACAAGCGGTGACTCCTCCTGAGACTGGTAGTGAGTTCACAGTTTAGGCAGCACTCTGGGGCTCTGACACATGGCCTTGAGCACGCTGAGCTGGTTGCGGTGTTGCTGTCCCTCTGACAGTGGGCAGAGCATGTTCCTGTCCCTGCCCTGCAGCCCAGGGCTGTCAGCCCTATATAGCTGTGAAGGCGATGGTGTCCTCCCCAAAACACACCTCTCAAAGGCAATAGAGAGGTTGACTCAGCAGTGCTGCTAGTTTAGGTCTTCTGGTGGGCTCCGAGGCCTTGCTATGCTGCTGGAGGAATTAGGAGCACTCTTGCACCCTGGGTTTGAGTTTCGCGCCGGGAAGCAGCACACCCATGTGCAGAACAGGACACGGGCTGTTCTACCTGCTGGCACAGGGCGTAGGATTACAGCAAGGGAGTTAAGCTGAGGTTGTGTAGCAATCCTAACAGCAAGGCTAGGTAATCAGGCTTTGATAGCCAGCGACACTGTAAATACTGCAGGGCCTTGTTTCTTGCTATGCTTGCACTTTTAGGTGAGGCATTGTTGAAAAATACAGCTTCCCTGGGGTCTTGTTTTAGTGCAGAAGTGGTAGAGGTGGGCTCAGAACAGATACCCTGAGTCATCTGGAGACTTCATCTTCTGCCTAACAGAAATGTGGCTTTGTTATCGACTAAATGTAAGCACTGATTATAGCTTTTATCTATTCCAAACCTGCCTGGGTGACAGCTGAGATGGTTTGTCACACATGGGAGAATGCATGTTTCACTCAGGGTGCTCTGAGGAGAAGTTAGGTCATCTTTATTAAAAAAAACAGTTTCACAACACGGGACTCCAGAATTTGGCCTTATGCTCAATACCAGCAAAAAGAGATAAATGGTCCATATAATGTTAGTGTTTAGAGAGGAGAGAAGCAGGGCAAATGCTGGTTATGCTGCCAAGGTCTAGGTGGGCATTGTCACACAGCAAGCTGCAGTCAGAGAGAAGTCTCACTCTGTGTGAGCTGGCCTGAAACAGGATGGCATCGGCATCTTTGCTGCTTCTTGCTGTTGCTTGGATGTGCTGCCATAGCTGCCTGGGTCATTGTTCCTAACCCATGTCTGGCAAAGTGAACTGGGATCAGATAAGCTGTTGTGACTGACTCAGCAGGCTGGACCTGATCCGTTTGACAGAATGGGGCTAGGGAGCAACTAGGGATGCAGTTAGGGAAGAGGGTGCGGTCATCTCAGAGGTTAGCCTTGTAACCGGGTTCTGCTGTGATCAGGGTTGTGTTTTGGTTGGGATTGAGCAAGCACTGTGAAGGCATGGGAAGCTTTTCCTTCTGGGCAGCTGTAACAAAGCAAGATTGGTAGGAGTGAGATGTTGGGCTCCAAACAATGCTCAACAGCTTGTATATGTACAAGGGGAATCCCTCATTGGTGGTTGAGCTGTGTTTGTCTAGCAGCTTGTGTTTTGATGCTTTGATGCCAGTCTGCAGAGCATCTCTGGCTTTTTGCCTGGTCTTGTAGGCAACACTGATAGCTTTTACTGGTCACTCTAGTTTCTAAATTAGAAGCTGTTCACATCCAAAAATTCTCAAACTTGTTTGTTGTTACATGGTTCACAGTGCACAGAAGAGCCTTTAACCTTGTGAGAAGACTGCAGCTCAGGGGTACTGAACTCAGCGTTATAGTATAAGCATCTCAATTATATTCTCTAGTGAATTCAGGCAGAGGCTCTTGCTGTGCTTTGTAGCACACTAGTGATGCTGTTAGAACTCTGTATGCTGAGGATTACAAATGTACAAAAAGTTGCTGAAACCCTAGTGTGTGATTGCCATAAGAAAAAGGAAGTGAAAAAAATTCTGTACAATGCCCAGAGTTCATAATTCTCTTATTTCTTAACAGGGCAGCTTACCAGAATCCAAATGGCTCTCTTGCACAGGCAGTTGGGATTTTCCTTAAGCCATCTGAGCAACGCAGTCATCCAGCGACACCTCAGGTGATTTTCAAATCCTGCTTTTGGTTTTATTTTCTTGCTTGGAAGTGATGCTATTAAGTAAATCTAGCATAAGATATAGTATTTCTAATTAAAAAAGAATAATGTAATATGAGAAAAATATCATAGATGTCTCTTTGCAGATTGTAAAGTGAACCCAAATAAATGCAAGTTCCTGGCAGTCAGAACACGATTCAAACTCTGCAGACATTCCATGTTCTCTAAACTCTTCATTTAAGTTTTAACATGAGCTCCTTGCTCATCCATGCGAGTCTCCTGCCACTGTTTCCTGGTTTTTACACTTAGGGATGCGTTGATCTTGAGCTTGGAGGAAGTGGTGCTTGAACCAACTCTCTTGGCTCCTTTTAGTGCTCTAACCCACAGGATACCTCTAACTAGGTCTTTGTAGAGATCAGAGTTGGCTTTCCTGATGTCCAGGACTTTAGACGTTCAGACCAGAGTCCTGGTTATTGCCCTGTTTCTTCCATATAAGACCCTGAGCAGTATCTCATGGTCTCTGCAGCCAAGGCTGACCTCAGTCTTCACATCCCAAATCTTCCTTGTTTGTGAGAATAAGATCCAGTGGCACACATCTTCTTGTCAGCTCTTCCACCACATATTTAAAGGATATGCACTGACAGTGAGAAGGAGGTGAAAACCCTGAGACAGGAGTGCTGCTGCTGGAATGCAAGTCAGCAACCTGAACTGAGAAATCATTCCTGTGTGGTGAGCTTGCTTTTGGATGTGGGGACTTTCACTCTAAGGCTGTGTCAAAAATGAGAAGAAAAGTCCACCTTGTGCAGTTATCTTGTCTAGCAGTAATCAGGCAGTCACACATTCATAGTTGTGAATTTGCTACTGTTGCTTTCTAGACTTTGTGCAGCCTAGGTTTCCCTTTCTCCCTCTGGCAATGCTCCTCCTTTAAACTTCTGCTGTTCTGCCTTCTGTGTTGTGCAACCATAACCTGGCAGACAGAGGAATGGGGTGTGATAAAAGAAGAACAATTCCTGAAAGGGAAGTTAAATTCTCAGCTTATCCCTGCTGCTCTCAAGTGTATTCAAAGTCAAATCCACTGATTTAGAACCATGCAGTGTATTGCTGTTATTTCTTGCTACTCCTGATAATCCCACAGTGCAAGCAGACACAGAAGGGAATCTTCTTTCTGGGTTCCTCCCACATGGGGATGGTGATTCTAATTGGCAGCAGCTTAGCACAGCCACAGTGGGACTCAGAGGTCTCGTTGAGAGCAGAATAAGGTTGGTGAGAGCACCTCATGCACTTCACTGAGAAGGAAATTGGTCAGAAAATTGCTGGGTACTGTGTACAAGACTGAAAGAGGCTGACTTGAGTCTTAGCTTCCTGTTTGTGGGAGAAGCAAGTGCATTTTTTTCGCTTGTAAATTGAAGTTGAACCGAATCATCCACAGTTGCTTTAAAAAAAACTAAAATACAGGCAGTAAATACAAGCCACTCTTCTTTTAGTCGTGTTTCAGAGTAGAACCGTTGTCTTATGTTTGACATTTACTGAAGAGTGTACAAAGCTCATAGTAGCATCTGGCTTTCAGAGAACGCATTGAATGCAATGGATGCGTCAGCCATATGGTACGTATTTGTCGCTGGCGACTTCTGAGTGGTTTTGTAGGCACAAGATCCCGTGCTGGCTTTGCCCTTGCTCCCCAAGGATTACTGGGGAGATCTGTCTCTCATTCTTTCCTGTCTTTTGCCAGTGTCAGTGGAGCATGCCGAGCAATACAGAAACTTACTCGCGTGCGAGTGGTGGACAACAGTGCCTTGGGAAACGCGCCCTACCACCGGCCACCAAAGTGTATCCACGTGTATAACAAGACTGGAGTTGGCAAAGTAGGAGATAAGATCCTTCTGGCTATCAAAGGAGAAAAGAAGAAGGCTTTGATTGTAGGACACAAGATGCCTGGTCCTCACATGACGCCTAGGTTTGATTCTAACAATGTGGTGCTCATAGAAGACAACGGAAATCCGTTAGGAACTAGAATAAAAACACCCATACCCTATATCCTGCGGCAGAGAGAAGGAGAGTTCTCCAAAGTTTTGGCCATTGCCCGCAACTTTGTATGAGAGTTAGAGATTTCTGTCAATCCTGTTCATACCCTTTCCTACAGTACCTGTTCCTTGGTCCTTTTCTAGAAAAAGGTGAAACACGCGGAAGTTGAGGTTAATTAAGAGTCTCTTTTCCTGTTTATGACATACAAACAGCTAATTTAAATTCTGAAATGCCTTGTTTTTCTCCAGAAGAGAAAACAGCATGTTTGGGAAGTGGTCCTATACTAACACTGCTCTGCTGGTGTTACTTTGGTCTCCAGTTATTAAAGTAAGAAGATGAAAATCTGCATTGTTTTGTACTGCTTATGCTCTGTTTTCCCTATTTCGACTGTTCACAGTTCTGTTGGAGCAAGACACAAAGCCCAGTCCCTGGCCTGATGGTTCTGGGATGTACAAAATGGATTCACTTATAATAAAGTAGGAGAGATGAGAGCAGTGTAATGAATTGTTGGTCCTTTCAAGAAAAGTGTTAAGTTTCCTCATCTTTGCCTCAGGAAGAAGACTTTAGGAGTGAATGGGATAGGGAAAACCTGATGGCCTACAACTTTGGTGGTGTGTGATTGAACAGGACATAGCAGAGCTGGGAAGGGAAGGAGAATGTGGTAGTTTTGGGACATGGCCTATGCTCTCCACCTGATCAACCTCAGGAAATTAACTTCTGTTGTCTCTGGACAGTACAAGGGTTGGGTTCAGACTGAAAGTTTGACTGGAAGAAACATTTCAGTTCCAGACAGCTTTTTGAGACTGCATCAGAGAACCTAGGTTTGTCCATTATCTGTTGCTGATAGGCAGCATGTACTCATTGGTAAGGCCAGCTATTGTCCAGAAGTGCTTCCTAAACTTAGGCACAACAGTGTGTAGGTGCTGTGCTGTTGTGTTCAGGGGTAACTGTAGTCCAGGAGCCAAACTGCTTTGTTCACATGAAGCCAGGCAGAAAAACTTGGTGCTTGCAGTGGGTAAAAGGATGTGGGACCCTGGATCCCCTCCTGCTCCGTTACTCTAAGTAACGTGGATTGGACAACAATCTGTGTTTAAATTGAGCTTTAAGGAGCTGCACTGTTCTCCTTAGTAAAACTTCCCTGTGAACCAGAGGAGCCTAAGCCTATCAGCTTCCCAGTTCAATACAGGCAAAACCTCCCTCTGCCTGCAGCACGTTACTTTCTTGCTGCTTTCCATGAGCCAGAAAAAGCTGGATTTGCTGCTCTAGACCTTCCCAGGCCCCAGGCTGTTGCCAGTAAGCCCTCAGCCTGCCTGCTGGAGGAAGCAGCACAGCAGGTGCCCAGCTGATGTCAGTCTTTCCAGGCTGTCTGAATACAGTTGCTTTCAAGGAGAGATTTCTTTGCTGGAAGGTGACGTTTATGTCTCTTTGCTGGGCGGGTTAGTGAACAAACAGCTCATTCTGGTTGCAGCAAGAAGCGTGGCTGGGTCCCCTCCTGTTGTTTCCTAGAAGGAGCTGCAGTTGCTGGCCAAACATCCCTGGGTGTGCACGCTGGCCATCTAGCGGCTTGTGGAGCTGTGAGAGGTGTTCTGCGACCTCAGGCATTGGAGACTTACTTCTGCAAAGGTGGGTCTTGCTGGGGCTGCTCAGGTTGGGATCCTGCCCAGGTGCAGCGATCACTGGGGTTCTGGGAAGTGTAGCAGAGGCAAACTTAGTATTTCAAGTAGAAAAGAGTGTGTGTCTCCTGAAAATGGGAGAATGTAAATTCCTTCAAAATGTGTATCCTTTTGAGAACAGAAAAAAAAAATTACTTCTGCTAACCTAAGACTGAAAAATAGCTTTCCACTGCTGCATGTGGTTTCTGTGCAAGGCCATCTGCGTGGTGGAGATGGAGTCCAGTTGGTTCCAGCTAACCCAATCTGTCACTCACTCGCAGAGCTGCTCAAGTGGATTGTTTGGTCTTGCTTAGCAACAACTCCAGCCTTGAAGCAGTTCCCTGGTAGGACACAAGGACCTCCAAACAATTTTTGTTTTTCTTGTCCTGACCATAAGGGCTATGAGTTCTTCATGGGATGCGTGGACCCTGCTGTTTGGATATTAAATATTTCACAGAATATTTGTTAATAACTTTGCAGCATTTTGCAGGGATAGAGGTCATGGGGAGAGGGCACCAGAGGAAGCAGGCAAGACAATGGAGCAGACTTGAGATTAAAATGTGGAGAGACACTTTTTTTATAAGTAAACTGATATGTGGAACTAAATCCTTAACCTCGGAGCTTAATAAGCAGACATGCAGACAGCTAAGCTCAGCACATCCCACCGAGCAGCTCCTGCAGTCTGTAAGTGTCTTTTCCTGACAAGGAACGTGGCCTCAGCAGAAATCACTGCTCTGGGACACTACGTCTGCGCTTGGCAAATCCCAGGCACTCACCAGGGGCAGCTTCTCACTGGGGTCTCTCCTTCAAGCAGGACCCACATGCAGACCCTTGTTCTGTGGGGTACCTGCCTGCGTGGGCTTGGAGCCTGCCCCATGCTGTGCTTGGGATGCAGTGAACCAGGTGATCTTCCAACCCAAGTATTTTGGTTTTATGGAATTAACCTGGTTTCTCCTGGGGGTAGTGATTCTTGCAGGTACTTTCCTTGAAGGAGGCTGGCTGTCTTTCCCTTCCCCTCTCCCTGTTTATTATTCTGCCATTAAAATGGTTTTGCTATGGGAAAGTTTCCCAGCAGGGGATGGTGCCAAAGAGGAATCCTCTCATCTCCTGTGCAGCCTCTGGAGGAGCTGTGAGCTGCTGTGGAGAGTAAAGGAAGCTGGAAACCGGAATTCAGAGTCTTTCCAGTGTCCCTATTTTTGCCCCAAGGAATTGCTCATGGATCTTTACAAATGTGCCTTCTTGGCCAGCTCTGCCTGTGTCCCTGGGTTAGTGCTGTTCCTTGTGTTTGGATGTGGGACTGAGGTCAGATTCTGCTCCCACGGGGTGCCTATACCCCTGGTGATGTGACCAGATGTTTTTTGGTGGGTCCTGAGGGAAAGTGGTCCCTTCTTAGGTTGTTCTGCGAGGGCAGGGAGAGATGACCAGTGCCAAGAAAAGACATGGGGTAGGGCTGGCTGCTGGGGCCCAGAGCTAGACAGAGGAAGGCAAACTGGGGATTAGCTGGCTGTAAGAAGGGGTGTCTCAAAAGGAAATGGGCAAGACAGATTATCGCTCAGGGATGCTGCAGGGAGCTGATGGGTTCCATCTGCCTGGAGACAGGCTAGGAGATAGGCTTGTGGCCCCATGCCAGCACGGCAGAGGGACTGTGGGATCAAGGAAGGCAGCAGGGGACATAGCGGGCTGGGAGGGGGATCACAACATATGTCAAAAGCAAGTTGCTGGGCTCATTTGCCAGCTTTTCTTTTTTCCCCATAGCATCAGTTACTCCGTGGAACTCATTGCTCCAGGACACCAGTAAGTACAGCTGGTTAACGGAACTGAAAATGAGCCTGAGCACTCTCCTCTGTGGCAGCGAGGGTGACTGTGTTCAGCAGTAACAGCAAACACGCCTTCCCCAAAGGGAGGTGATGTACCTGATCATTGTGGTGTGGTCGCTGCAAGCAGGCTGTCACCTGGGCTTCTGAAATATGAGGTTCTTCTGAAGGCGGCTCAAGGCTATAGAACTCTGTGCCGTAATGTTGTTCTTTAAAAACAAACATGAGCCCTGAGCTACGGGGCCGGGTACTGGAATGCTTCCCAAAGCAAGCTGCAGGCTTTGGACCAAATGTTCCCTGCTGGGCCATGTCATCCCATGTCACTCCTCTCTTTCCGTGTAATCTGCATCTCTCGGGTTTAAAGAATTCATTGCTCTAGCTTGCTAGTCTTCACCGGTACCAGAGAACTCACTGTTGTGAGCAGGTGATGAAGTGAGGAGGTGGTAGGATGGGAGATGTTATCGCGGCCCTTGCTTCCTGAGGTTTCTGCTTGGCTCTTGGTCCTCTTCCAGGAGGCCCTTGGCAGCCATAGGCACCCTATAGCTATGATTCCTGATGCTGGAAGCAGCAAATAGCTGGTTTTACTGGCTTCCCTGGCCTGCCACTCAGCCCCTGATGTGCCTTGCAGAACAAGGGACCTCACCTGCAGCCAGGTGAGCTGAGGACAGGGGCCCTGGGGTATCAAGTCTAGACCCACCACAGCTCCTGGGCATACAGGTGTCTGCTCAGTGCACTTACAGCATCTCACATTGCTTGCTGGAAAACTCAATGGTGAAATGTTCTGCTCATGGCCGGCGGGTAATATCTTGCATTTCTGAGGAAAGCAGAGTGAATCTTAAAGGCTTGTAAGAACTGGGACACGCAGAGTTAATGGGCTGTGCAAATTTTGGGCCGCTGGAAGTTGGGCCTAACACAACCTCCATCTCTAGCTGCCTGGGGTGGCTGAAGCGTGAGATCCCTGTTCTGCCAGCTGGGAAAGGGACTCTTGCAAGTCAAGAGCAAAGGGACTGTGTAACCTGGGAGGCACACACTGGGGCTTTAGGGCAGGTGTAGGCGACTCTGATGCTGTGCAAAGGCTGGGTGCTGCTGGCAAATCTGGGTATCCGAGGCTCTGCTCCCCTAGACAAGCCAGCTCTGTGCCATCAGCCTGGCTTGGATCTGGGTGCTGGGATTCAGTGTGGCTGTGGCATCAAAATGCCAAACCCCAGCTGAGAGCTGTGCAGAAGGGTTAACAGCTCACTCCCTCTGCTTCGGGGAGCTTTGTTCATTGGAGTATTAAATTCCACAGCTGTAAATAATCTGCAGCAGGAGAGATTATCAAGACCCTGGGAAGAAGCAGCTTTTATTAATAAGATCAGTTCTCCCTGCGCAGCATCACGTAGCTGCTCTCCACCCTTTCTTTGCTGTGCTGCATCTCGGCATGCCTCCTGAGGGCAGGTGGGCAGCTCCCTGCCTCCAGCTGTGCCATCGCCAGCCGAACTCTGCCACTCGATAAGAGAATCCAGTTCCCGCTGGCTTTCCAGGGCGCTGTCAGTGTTCCCAGGGAGCAGGGTGCCCGTGGTGCAGCCTCTCGTCCCGCTGCTTCTCTCGCAGAGCCGTCGGGCCCAGAGCTACCCATGGGCGGCCATCAATCCCTCCGCATCCCTCCCCGAGCTCACCGCCAGCCTGCAAGGCGGGTTGCGGCCACACGGTGTCACCCCACGCCGCCCTTTCCGCTCCGGGAGACGGCTGCTGCGGCCGTGGCTCCTCCCGTGGCGCCGTCCCGCGTGTTCCCGATCCCAGCGCGGGGCCGTGTGACGGCACGGCCGGCTTTGGGGACCCGCCACCACCCGGTGTTGGGCACCCGCTGTCACCATTGTGAGCTCGGAGCGGCTGTGGCA